CTGGTGGACGACGCGATGTGCAGTTTGGTTCGCGACACGTGTAGACTGCAGGCCAAGTCGTCGATGATCTCATCCACCACTCGCTGCGAGCGATCAAAAAGCATAACGTTTTGGTAATAGAGATCTCGTTTTGTACAATAGATGTCTTTCACAATGAGATTCAAAATGATTTTCAACACAAATTTCAATTGCTTTTGGCGTTTGGTTTGTGTCCGCACTTTGTGTTGAGGCATATCTTTCAGCGTAATTCCTGTTCCAATCCAATAGTCAGTGTTTGTCCACTTGTGTCGGTTCACAATCTGATCCATAAATAAGACAATAAATACAATTATTCAAACAAACGGACAAATATAATAAATCCAAAAATGTATATAACTTTTCATTGAATTCATACCTGAAGTGAACCGCAATTATTGACATCAATATCGCATACATTTATCGCTTGATTTTCAATATCCGATGTTTGGCTTTCATTCACCGGTTCTTCGTATTCGTTGTCGTATTTAATATCACTGAACTTATAGTCCAAGTCATCAATGGATTGAATGTATTGTTGAGTAAATGTGGGCATCTGTTCAGTCATCTGCGACTCACGAGTTGTCTCATTGATTGCATCGTAAGAGTAATTCATTGGATCAATAGATTGGCTGCTCTTACACGAGAATAACGGCTCTTTCCGAGTGAATGGATTGTCGTATTTGTATTCCCAACTCTTCTTCGGCTTAGGAGTCGGCTTAAGACTGGGCTTAAGATTGTTGTCGTGGGTCTCGAAAGCGGTATAGAAGTCATCATTTGTACTGAATTTAAAATTGTTGTCATCAATGGATTGAATGTATTGCTGAGTAAAAGTGGGCACTTCTCGGCACCGTTTGGCCGGCGGCTCATCGCTCGTCGCCAAGTCTTCGTCGCTGTTATAGTAGTCCACGTCTTCGGGAGCGAAGTGGCGGTCGGGAACCACTTGAGTGGACACCACTGGCGGCGACGGAACACAGCGTTTGGCCAACGGTTCGGACGACACCACGGGTTGTGTCTGCGGTGCGGGAGTGGTGTGAGTGGTGTTGTTGTTGTGTTTGTGGGCCTTATCTCTGGCCAAAGAAGTGTCAATGATTTGAATATAATTGTGGATCTTCTGGACGAGAACGGACTCATCGGCGCCGCCGCTCTGTTGCCGCAGACTTTGTCCCATTTGGCGACTCTTGGCTTTGGACGCGTCGGTGACGTAGACCCTGAGCTCGCGCTCGAGTCGTCTCAACTGATCCAAGAAGTGTTTGTCATATTTGATGACATGAGCGCCGATTGTGAACGACTCGCAGAACTCATTCAGTTTGTGTATACAGTGCTGTGAAGTGGTCAACCAATTCTGTGTCCGCTTCGGGCGCGCAGACAATCGGTGCCCGAAGTGTCCGTTTGGTCCGTATTGTCGACCGCTTTGTGTGGACACGAGTTGCGAATGTCTTCGAGTCGTTTCCATCACTACTTCTCTGTCTATCAAAACGCCATTCAATTGACAATCGACTCAACCGTTCGATCGCTAGAATAGAACTCAACTAAACTTGTGTTCAATTTTTGCCACAAATTCTGTTCTATTCATTCGTTTCTCAATCTGTGTTCCCATTGGCTAATGGATTACCGGTTACTCATTGTAGTGAGTGTTTGGCCAATATGTGTGACCCGTTAACACCATTCAGTGCTATAAAAGTTTTATAAACTTTTTGATTACTTTTCGCATTTAATTTCAATGCATTCACTCTATAATAGACTCTCTTTTCACATAACGTATTATTCATTCAATTAGTTTACAAACTTTCTTATCTTTATCTATCACTTCATAACTCTCTCTCTCTCTCTCTCTCTCTCTCTAACATCTTGTGGCAGATTTTGCCATTCAATACCTCCTTATGTTATATTCATGTATATATTCTGCAATCAATTAATCAAACTCTCTCTCTCTCTCTCTCTCTCTCTCTCTGAGTTAATTAAAAGAGAATATATGTAATGTGATATGAACATGATGTTTAGTTTAGTAGAATATAATGTACAATGGTCAAACATATTAAATCATACATTTAAATGAAGCGAAATGTGGACATAATTAGCAAATTATTCAATTACTCCAAAAGTCATTTATTGTATTCAAAGTTTGAGAATATATTTAATGAAAACATTATTAATTAAAGCAAACAAATGCGATATGTATTGAATATATTGAACAAATGTTTGGCATCTTTTGAGTCATTGGTATAACCAGGCATTCAGTCACTCATATGTTGTTCACATTTATCGCAAATGTATTGATTAATTGATTGCAGAATATATACATGAATATAACATAAGGAGGTATTGAATGGCAAAATCTGCCACAAGATGTTAGAGAAGATAACAATGTGTTGGAAGTTATGATAACAAGAATAAGGATATGGAATAAGTGATGGCAAGTGTTGTACACATAAGTTATGTGCAGCCAATGGTATGTCTGATGGGAAGAAATCAATACAATATTGAGTTAACAGTTATAAGAGAGTGAATGCATTACAACATACAGTAGATGTGATGTTTAGGAAACGAAGCGCAGAGTGAATGGGAGGCAGCGATAGGACCGCCCAATTGATGATCACTTGTCGCGACTATACTTCTCCGCTAACTATCCTCTCATTTCTCATTTAAATCACTGCCAAACGTCTCGATTGAGTGAAAAGAGTAAAAAATTTAGTCATTTGTTAACAACGAAACGAAAAGTGTTTAAAGAAAATGTCAAAAAAGCATTTTAAAAGACAAAATGTATTCGCAATGAATGGCGAGCTCTCGGATAACGATAATTATGATGAGGAGAGCTATGGAAGCGCCAGCACTATAGCCAGGGAAGACATATCGGAGCCGTTGTGTACCTCAGAGTGTGGCAGATCTGGCGGATCAGTCGTTGTCTCCGATTTCGAAGAGGAGGCACTTTCAGACCACTCGACCACTACTACAACCACTACTCCCTACTCCACCACAAGTGGCTCCTCATTAGGCACTCCTCAAGCGGTCGGAGACGTCAAGAACGAGATGACAGATAACGAGGAACTCTTTGCCACCAATACTCACGATTCCAATGAACTAAAGTGTGGCCAAAGTATTGACTTCTCGTTTTGTCATCAAATTTTATCCAAATATCAAATCATTCATTCGTTTCAATCAATTAATCCCAGACTTTGACTCCATTTGATTTGCAGAACTCAACTCTTTGACAGCTTTATCGCCAATCGTCTCCATCAGAACCAAACACAGAGATCTCGAAGACTGGTCCACAAATTCAGCTAATATGAGCAATACATCCATCAATTCATATCACTTCCAAAGAATACATTCACCGCTTAATACGAGCGACACTTCTCTGCGGTTCACAACTAATTCACCGATTGTTCAAAAACATCGATTCCTTCATAAAAGAAGACATTCAGAAATGAACACAAATGGTATTTCTATTCATTTATTAATTGTATTATTTATTTTTAAAATCATAATTTATGATACATTTTATAAGAAATTGTTGTTTCCAATAATTACTGCAACATTTTACTCGCATTTTAACACTATATTAATTGTGAGTTTATTAATGTTGTATTCTATGAACTTCTACTACTGTTGTATTGCAAATGTGTTATACTTTTGTAAAGAGCGGGCGTAAAAATTAATTCATAGATCATGTTAATCTAAAATAATTTAAGCACCATGTTTAAATCAATCCGTTAAGTGATGCAAAAAAGCATAATCTTATAATTGAAATACAATAACCATAACATTATAAGTAATAACATTACAATGGTTTACATTACATAACAAACTATAGGCTCGTGTAATAAGACGTCGGATAGCGTGCCGTCAGTGCCTCGAAAGGCTGTGCGCCGTATATTCACGAATAGCAGAGAGCGCTGGAGGTATGTATAGATTGGACACAATTAATGGCAATTATTGCTACAATTGAATGCAAGTGCCGTCCACTGTAGGCAGCAGAACGTGAACGGAGCCTTCGCTGACTTGAGACGTCTTGTGCCCACATATCCCGCCGACAAGAAGCTCAGCAAAAACGAGATCCTCAGACTTGCCATCAAATATATCAAACTTCTTATGGCTGTTCTCGACTACCAGAACCAAGAAGAGGGACTCCCGATGGAAATGACGTCCAAGAAAGCGGAACTAACACTCAATGGTAACGCTTCTCACGAAAGGAACAGATTTAGTAAATCCAAACACAGACTACAAGTGAAACAAAGGGACAGAAAACGACGATATTATGTGAACACTAATATAGGACAGCCGTCGCCCTCCAGTTCACCACTCAATGACTGCGATTCTCCGTTTATCATCAGTTCCGATGAGTCCAGTCTTAGCTGTGCTTCAGATACCGACTAAAGACAACATCACATTTAAATGTCTTTTTTTGTATTTAACATTTGATCGCTTGTGTCGTGCATTGGATAACATGTTTTGATTGTATATATCTTTGATTGAAGTGTCGATTACTAAGATTTAAGAGACGGAATCGTTTGAGTGTTGAAAATA